TCCCAGCGTCGAAACGGCGAACTTTTGGAAAAATATTTCGTTTTTCCTCAATAACTCCTAAACCCTTGGAGATACGGGAAAATTGCATAGGACCTTTTTTGTAGAGGACGACGAGACCTATAATTTCCATGTAAATTTTTTTCGCTAACATTAATATTTAACGAGTTATTGACGAAAAACGAAAAAACAGTTTTTTGCAAATTACTCGTTAACTATTGACACTAGCGAAAAAACTTTACATGGAAATTGTAGATCTCGTCGTCCTCTACAAGAAAGGTCTGATGCAATTTTTCCGTATGTCCAACGGTTTGGGAGTTATTGGTCAAAAACGAAAATTTGGAAGAAATTGAAGGGGTACCCCTTGGAAAAATCTCGGAAAAATCGAAAATTTTTTTTTGTCGTTTATTATTAGCAATGTTCTTCCGACGTCTGATTTCTTTTTAAAAAATGCGTTTCTAAAGTGCATAAACTTTCGGGATTGACTGTATAGCCAATACATCCTTAAAATCGTCAAGTCGATTTACCTGAATAGCGAGCGGGAAGATATTCATTTTTTTAATCAAATGGCTCTCGTGAGTCGTTAAGAATTTGAGCAGATTGATGAGAGCTGTCCAGAGATCCCTCCATTGATATCCAAGCCTGACTCTACATCTCTTTTGGTAACAGAGTAACCGCTGTAAAACTCCGATACATTGATGGTAAAGTTCGAGCGGAAATTTCTTCATCATATGGGAAGTGACAAATTCGACGAGCAGGTCTAGGATTTCGAAACGATTACCAGAACGAGATTGAAAATTCGATAAGTAGCATGGAAAGAGACTGTAGAAGACGGATACCGAGCAAGGTAGCTGCCAATGGTTGAGCCGGTGCCACTTTGTCTTGTATCTTTCTGTGATGCATCGGTACTCGATGAAGCTGCACTCTGAACGCCAAGTTTGCGTCGTGCATTAAACTGTTCGCATACTGATCCTCCGCGATGCAACTCAATATCAGGAAACATAGTTTAACATTGTTCATTATTGCCTCTGTCCTGATCACTTGCATAACTATCGAACTGAAACATACGAGAGAAGTCAAAGCTTTTTAGAAACGAAACTGGAACGCGTTAGATGTAGGATACTGTATGGATAGTTCCTCTCACCAATATTGTAAGAACGTGGCCAACAAATTGAATGGTTGGGCCATTACATCAGGTAATTGCGCTCCGGGCGCTACCGCGTTCGGACCTAAGGTATTGTTCGGAGAAGGCGGTGCACTGGTATCGCTCTGAGTGTACGCCAGAGTCGTTACGAAATTACGATTCAAGTGTGTTGCTTCGTAAAGCGCTAACAACAGCGCGTTGTTCGCGCGGACCTGTTGCGTTTTCGCTTCCTCCTCCCCAACGAACATACTACCGACTATGCTGGTCAAAGAGGATAACCAGGACGCTTGTACTTCTACGGTTCATAGAAAAGCATCTGATTAAGTCCTGGAGAGAGCCGTGACAACAGAATCTTGTTCATACCTGCCCTTTGCTGAGCGAACTGTCGGCAAAACTCCGTCAAGGAGCTCGATATGACTTGCCCGTAACCGTTAAGAGCTAGCTCGTCGTCCAAAATTGATAGTTTCACGATATAAGGATTCGCTCTCTCGTGTTTTCTATAATTGACTAGAAGCGTTAGAAGTAACACCGCATCGTGCCCGTGACGACTTCTAGCTGACGTGTCTCTGAGTAGCTGTACGAAGAAAAATAAAAAAACGCTTCGACAATCGATTCGAACAATACTATTCGATGTTATATATCGGTCGTATGCTATGGAATAACACCTACTTGAACCAGAGATTCAAAAACACTATTAAGCATAACATATTCCAACAAAGTGTTTTGACTAACATTGTCCATGCCAGTTACAATGATTAACAACAATTTCAAGCATAAAGCTTTTAAACTATCAGGGTATTCACCTAGAATCATGGAATCAGATTTTAACGATTCGTCAGTCTCGAGAGGACAACGGGATGATTAGTCGAACGTTGAATGTGATACGTACATATGTATGTATATTTGAATCTTTGATTTCTTGAATACGTTACAAGAGTTAACTGTACCTGTCAAAAAATTATTACAATGCTGCATCAACGTTGTCATTCTCTGTTCCGCGGAATCAAATCCGACTAGGATGTCTATCAAGTTGAATCCGCAATCGCCTTGACCAGCTTTCTTATACATAGATTGAATAACAGCCGCTAAAGTTTGTAAAGCGTAGACGACTCTGAACGGGTGTTCGTCGACCAACGTGTCCACGCAATGACAAACCAGGGCATTCAAATTTTCTCTACTAGCGTTTAACTGTTCCGTGGTCATGTGTAGAATTTCACTTTCGATGTGTGGGACCTGCAAGTTAACAAAGGAATAGAACATCGAAACGTATTAGATCACAGAGTATACAATACGACGTTTCTCGTCATTTGTTTTGTTTCTTTGACAGGGAAAATTCAGAAAAAACTTTCCAGTTCAGTTCATTCATTTGGTTAACATAAAAATTCTTGAAAAAATGCTACTCTGGACCTATTACTGTAACATTTAAAACCTCAGGCTTCGTTGTATGGAAGCTCGCACATTGGTAAAATTTCATAATGATCGGCAAAGTTGTCACTAAGTTTATACAGGTAAGATCGAGAATGATTTATAAAAGGTTCGCCCGTATTCGAACGATAACACTTATATTTACGTCGTTCAACAGTCATTACCATCATGGGAAGTGACAAAATATTACGGAAGAGTGTGTATGTATCAAATAAAATGCTTAAAATATAAATTTCAAACAAGCGAGGCATGGTTTAATTTTAAGTGCAAGTTTATGCCAGGTAGTTTGCGTAACGAACTCGAATGCGAGGAATCTATCGAAAAAAAGGGTATGTACCAGAAGAAGAAAAGAAATATATTTTTTTCATCGCTTCCAAAGACACGATTGACGTGATTAAATTTGTGATCAAATTTTTAGTCAAACCCCAGTCTAAACAGCAGGTGAAACCTGGGACTATAAAATCGGAAACTAGTTTCAACGACGTTATAAGAAATGCTAAACGAAGCAAGAAAGGAAATAAAAAGTATCAAGAAGATGACAAATTTACTATGCCGGAAGACTGTATCCCGCAAAAAAAGAGGAAGGTACAATTTAATTACAAGATAATTTAGTATTCAATTCGAAGCTATCATTTTCCTCGTCAAACTATTTTCATTACAGGCCAAACGTGCTCAATAATTTCTACGATGGATCAAGACTTTTCGACCCGAAACTCTGTCAATTTTTAGACCAATCTCATTTGCAACCATTTATCTTTTATTTGTATTTTTAACATTAAATAAAGCTTGATATTGAACGAAACTAATTACTGACCATAGGTTTAATTAAGAACAGTTCGTTCCAGAAATTTGGATGAGCTAATGTTAGATCTTCTCCCTTGAAAAAACTTTCATAAATCGGTACGAGTTTCCCCTTGTGTTGCCGCTTTGAGCCTGAGCCGCTACGTTTTCTCATAGCCATTGCCATAGTCGATCATTCACTTTTTACCATTTCCTTCACCTGAAAAGAACGCAACACAATTTTAAATTTGAAATAATATTTTTTTATATAAATTCAGAAGACATGGTTCATCGCCGAAAATTTGTCTCTCAGTATAACCTTTGAAAAATATGTTCGATGGTTAGAACCGATGAACACAGTTTTTAAACAAGATACTTAATTACTGAAATGATGCTGCTTTTATTTAATTTTAATTTTAAGAATTATAATATCGTGTCTAACGAATTTCGATATTTGCCGGCTATTTACTTACGAATAAAGCGGACAGTTCCTGACGGATATCATAGGAGATCTTTACCACCTTTACTAAAAAACGATTCGAGCAATCCTCGAGATGCGATTATTTGTGATGATCCAATTTATTAAGAGACTCATCGAAAGAGCCTTTGCAGGGTGAAAATGGAAAATAAGTAATAATTATAATTACAATGAATTACGAAAACATCCATGCACAAGAATGACAGGCAGCCATCACTATACTTATTATTTAGTTCCTGTACTTGTCAGTAGTAGTAGTAGTAGTAGTAGTCAACCTAGTCAACTGGTCAGCAATAGCAATGTCAGCAATAGTCAGCATCACTACTATCAGTACTATCAGTAGTCGTAGCGTCGTAGCCGTCAGTCTGTCACTTGGGTCACTTGGGTCACTTAATCATCTGTAATATTGCCAGTTTCACGTGTACTCGCGAAATACTTATATAAGTTCAATTACATACAGGGAGGCCCAGGACTATGATCCAGTATATTTATCCTAAAATCTGCTGTATTCTACGTGCAATGAACTTGCACTTAAGGATTCCGCAATCTTTAAGAATCAGGTTTTCATTGTTTTTGATATATACACCTACTGCATACTAAATACTTGTTTTATTAATTCAATCATTTATATCTGTAGATCCGTATCACCTGTTGTGTCGTGTGTTCGATGCTATGCCGAAACGTCCACGAGACGTATTTCCTACGAAAACGAAAATACCAATCAGAATAACTCTGAAAGTAATTCTCGTAGAAGATATGCAGCGTTCGTCACCGTTGCGGCATCCATGTTAGGTTTATATTATTATACGTCTCATAAAAAAGTCTGTGCTCTGACCAAAAACCCTGTCGAATGCGGAGAATACAGAGCAGACTTAAAAACGTATAGCATGCAGGAAGTAAGCAAACACGATAATAAAGAGAACGGTATCTGGATAACATTTAGACGAGGAGTGTACAATATAACAGACTTCGTTGATAAACATCCAGGTGGTCCTTCTAAGATAATAATGGCTGCTGGTGGTTCTATAGAACCGTTTTGGACGATCTTTGCTAATCACAACAGAAAGGAAATATACGAGCTTCTCGAAACAATGAGAATAGGAAACATATCTGAGAATGATGTAATTTCCGACGTATCTAATGAACACGATCCATACGCGAGAGAGCCTGTGAGGCACAAAGCGTTGAAAGTTAACGGTCAGAAACCGTTCTGTGCCGAACCACCCCCTTCTTTGTTGATCGAAAGCTTCGTTACACCGGTGTAAATAAGCAGAGAATTTTATTTTCTTCGCCAAGCAAACAAATTACCAGTCGTTCACTAACGCGTTAACTACTCGCTACAGGGAACTGTTTTACGTTAGAAATCATCTTCCTGTACCCGAGTTAGATTCAGAGAGCTACGCTTTAGAATTAGCCACTGAGGAATCAACGAGAAAGACTCTGAAATTGGAAGATATCAAAAAATATCCCAAGCACACAATCACAAGCGTTGTAATGTGTGGTGGGAATAGAAGATCGGAAATGGCAGCGGTAAATCAATCTACTATTGCTTCTTTTAAAGTAAAAATATTTATATATCATTTAAAATTTATTTTTTTATTGGCTAATTTTTTATCACAGGAAAAACCGCTAAAGGGTCTTACTTGGGGTGTAGGGGCTGTAGGTAACGCCGTATGGACCGGCACCAAGCTCTGCGATATCCTCAGAGATTTAGGAATCAATGAGGACGATTACGATCACGTACAGGTAAACAGGTTAAAAACGTCGTACGAATGAACGACTAGACTTAACTCATTTATTACAAAAAATATGAGATAACGTACAGTTCGAGGGATACGATTTGGATCCTTCTGGTACACCTTATGGTGCGAGTATACCTATCGGAAGAGCTATGGATCCTAAAGCAGACGTGATTCTAGCTTACGAAATGAATGGACAATCTATACCGAGGGATCATGGATTTCCTATTAGAGTAATCGTTCCTGGTGTTGTGGGCGCCAGAAATGTGAAGTGGCTCGGTACCGAATATTACAGACTTATAGTTGTAATTAAGTTGAACTTTTTGATTTGAACCTTTGATTCCTGACGCATTTTTCGTAGCAAAAATAATCGTCTCGAAGAAAGAGAGTCCGTCGCAATGGCAGCAGGGCGATTATAAAGTTTTCTCTCCCAGTACCGATTGGGATAACGTAGACTTTTCTAAAGCGCCAGCTATCCAAGAGATGCCTGTGATTTCGGCTATTTGTAAACCGGAACCATTGGAAAATGTGAAAGTGGTAAACGGGAAGATAAACGTGAAAGGTGAACTATGACTGCTTTTAAAATTTTGTTCGCAGCGGAATTGCGATGATTCGACCCAAGTACTTCTTTCAGGATACGCGTGGTCGGGAGGAGGTCGGAAAATTGTACGAGTTGATGTAACGAACGACCAAGGCGAAACTTGGCATACGGCGAATTTAGACGCTGAAGATACCAATGCTAAAGATGGTCGGCACTGGAGTTGGACGCTTTGGAGTATAGATCTCCCCGTTCAGAAAGGCTGGAAGGAAACAGAAATTTGGGCGAAAGCTGTAGACGCGTCGTACAATGTGCAACCTGAAACTGTAAAAAATATTTGGAATTTACGGGGTTTCCTCTGCAACGCTTATCATAAAATCAAAGTTAAACTCGATCGCTGAATCGTTGTACTCTACCGTTTATTAAAAAAATAAGTAACTTGTTTCATCGAGAAACATTAAATGGGATTCTCCTCAAACAAGTATCTCCTCAAATCTTCATAGCTCGGTCATTGAAATAGTTAGGTATATCCTCCGTAGGTAGTTCGTAACTCGTCGAATCGTATATATCGTGAACTTCGATCAAAGGCGGAGATCTTATAGTGGATTTCCCAATTACGATGGCATAAGGAAATCCGGACACACGAGAATGCATCAATCGATTGCCAATTGTCAAATTCGTTCTATCGTCGAGTACGAAATCAATGTTTAATCGATCTAAAGTCTCTATTATTTCGTTCAAGTACTGAGACCCGGTTTCTTCCTTACTGCCTTTCTGCAAGTTATTACGATCAATACAATTGTCCACGCTGTTTGCAGTCCGTTAGGAACTCATTCTCTGCAAATTCATTACCTTCGGCAGTATAACGCACACCGTGTAAGGTGCTATAGCTTTCGGAAATCTCAATTCTTCTTCGGTAGACAATATTTCAGTGGCGACTGTAAAAATCCGACTCAAACCGAGTCCGTAAGAACCCATTGCCAAAGGTATCGATTCGTTTTTCAACTTTTGCGTCACGTTCAGAGGTTTCGTGAATTTCGTGTCTAACAGGAACGTATGTCCCACCTTGAAGGAAAAATAAGCATCCATGAAAGAATTAATGTAAAATCGATCTAGGCGTTCAGCTCTTTGAATCTACCTCCGAAGTATTTTCTTCGCGAAAGTCGCCGTTACATTTAGGACATTGAGACTGATTGCACATGGTCTTGTTAATAGCGTATTCACACGATGAGCATATACAAAGGGTATCTTCTCCGATATTACACGTATAATGATACTCGTGAGATAAGGAACCTCCAATCGAACCTGGATCGCCGATAGCTATGGAAACGTATAAGTACATGCATTCATAACATCGGCAACGTTCTCGGGAATTGTTCCAATACCTTTCATAAATTGGATCCCTAGTTTCTTAAATATATTATCGTAAGCTTCGCACACAGACGTATACGTCTCTTGAGCTTCACTTATATTCGTATCAAACGTATACAGGTCTTTCATAAGAAATTCTTTGCTTCTAAGAAATCCTAGTCTTGGTTTCATTTCATCCCTCCATTTAGTAGAAACTTGATACAATCTTACAGGGAATGTCTTTGATGACAATACTCCTACAGTCGACATTAAATTACAAATTGTTTCCTCATATGTCTATAATAAAATGCCAAGTTTGCTAAAGCTCTTCCACCTTCCAACAATCCTAAACTGTAGTTTCCTCCACCGAGTAGAAACTTACTGGACTAAGTATGTAATGTTTATTAGACCTGTCTTTTACGTGAAACAATTCTGAGATATTCTCCCTCAGTCTGTCCGTCTTTTCCCACAAATCTCTCGACGTTAAAGCTGGAAGTAACATCTTTTGGGCTCCGATCTTCTCCATCTCCTTGTCAACGATCGCGGTCAATTTATTTAAAACCCGCAAGCCCATAGGTAGAAATGCGTACATGCCGCTGTTTACTTGTTTCATCATTCCATATTTAATTAAATTCTACAATCAACATATGTATACACAATAATTAGCCGGTTTTCGAAGAGTATCTATTCATAACAAACGAGAAGAGTCTTTTGTACTTTATAACTTTTCGAAGGAACCTCCGTCTTTTTAGTGGTAGCGATATGCGCAATAATCGGCTGGAATATTCGTGACAATCGTGCGATATTGCGACCCGATACATTAGACATTTTTATATAATTATCGTATTCAATTATTAATTCACTGGATATAAACAGGTGATTGCATTCGTGCCACTTGCAATGGATTACCGGATTACTGTAACCGCATGTGAAAAACAGACCCTTAGAATAACAGCAATATCCTCAGCTTTTGCTGGAATAGCTTGGGCTTAACAGATTTTTAACAAAAATTCATAAAAATATTGTTAGTTTATTTAAGAAAAATCTGCGTGGATATTCGTATAAATTTTATATCCTATTGTCCACTATTGTCCGAAAAAAGAACACTACCTCACTACCTGCTCGTTACATAGGGCAGTATCAAAAGAAGAAATTTTTATTTCTTGTTGTATTTTTAGCTTCAATGTTTAAATTTTATTATTATCGATATAAAATATAAAATCCCGGATATATTCTAATTGGCGATACATCCTCCAGTCAGTATCTTCGAACCATTTCTGAAATTCCTTTGCGAATTAAACCCAGGGCACAAAGACGTTTCATTTCGTGTTTGAGAGACATATGTATCTATATGTATATGGCATCAAAATAATATTTCACGCGTAGATATTCTTGAAAAATAACTTTATTCTAGGTTGTGTATACTAATGTGCCTATTGTTTGACCGAATAAATAAATATTACAGGCCGCGGAACTGAAAATATGAAGGGATATCACGAAGTATATTTGTAAGGTTTGGTTAAGATGACGTTCTGGCACCGCTGACATCGAATGTATTTTTCTTAACATCAATCCTAGCACTTTCATAACAACAAAGTAAATTATCACAAAGTGCTGATGGCTAATCATTACGAAGTACCCAATTGGTACGTTTCAAAAGATTTCACAGAAATTTCGAACGAGTCTATGCAATTGATGTAATTGTAAATAGAGGAAATGTCAATTGTATAGTACATTGAGTCTGTTTCTTTCAGGGCTGGGAAACCACCAGTTGGACTACATTTAGATGTACTGAAAAATGACAAGCTAATTCAGGTAAAGCTTTAGTATTACACTTGATAATTAAAGTATTGTGTGACTCTTCTGGGATCATAACAAAAATCCTGTTTCATTATAGAAATTGATGGTTGATGAGAAGAAATGTTACCTATTTGGACGTAATCAACAATTAAATGACTTTTGTATAGATCACGCTTCCTGTTCCCGTGTTCATGCTGCTCTTGTTTATCACAAACATCTAAATCGTGCATTCCTTGTCGACTTGGGTAGCAGTAAGTAATTATTTTCGTAGTGTTTCTAACTCATCACTTTAATAAATACACGAGATGTATCAGACAACGTGTCACGAACAATAAAGTAATATATAGAAAAGTATTAAGAATTTTAAGACTATAGAACAATGGTCGCTGTTAACATTAGATCTGATTTGTTAAGAGAGTCTTGAAGATTAAATTTAGACATAAGCGTTGAACAATTCTTTAGCACATGGAACATTTATTGGTAATCTCCGTTTGGAGCAACACAAACCCACACAGTTACCAATTGATAGTACATTTCATTTTGGCGCTTCTACTCGGTATTACATAATTAGAGAAAGACCGCAAACGGGTACAAGGCCCATTATCGAGGAGTTGGAGAAACTGTCGGAAGATGCAGATACCGGTGGTTTGTTGGGCTTACCCGAAACGGAGACAGAACTTGATGTATGTATCGCGAATGTATCAGTATTAAATCGTGCTACGAAATTTCTAGAATTATAATTTTATATTGTCGATTGCAGAATTTAACAGAATTTAACACGGCGCACAATAGGCGAATATCTATGCTAGGTATAACAGACGATGAAATACATAAACCAACTAGAAAACGGAAAAAGAAGGGAATTACTTTCAACGATGACGAGGAAGTAATAAATCCGGAAGATGTTGACCCATCGGTCGGAAGATTTCGTAATCTTGTTCAAACGACCGTCGTTCCTAGTAAGGTAAGAAACATTTTCATTGACTATCGGTTAGGCTGGTTTCCCGTCGAAATAGAGCATTCAATGACTTCTGCATTTATACATTTCAGAGAATGCGTATGGAGGGAGGTTTGATATCGCTCTCGGAAGATCACAATCCTTTAAAACATCTACAATCTACGATAACTGCTCCTCAGTTGTACCAAGATTTACCACCGGAACAATTCACGCCGTCGTCGCTATCTCTTAATCCATTTTCTAGTGCATTATCCTCGCTGTCGTCTCGACTAGGTATCGCGTTACCAAATCCAGCACCCGAGGTAGAGATGACACCGAACCAAATACAAGCAGAAACACCTCATGTGCCGGAGTTACCTGGTCCTACCGATACGCGAACGATGGAACCAAAAAAGAAAAAATACGCCAAAGAGGCCTGGCCTGGGAAAAAGCCCATACCGACGCTTTTGGTGTAATTACAGTGTTAAGGAATTTATTTTTCTGTTGTTTGAAACGTTAAGTAACACAAAGATCTTGTGCATAAATCATATAAGTGTCAGGATGATATTTAGTCGATATTAATTTCGTCAATATATAAAACTTCAGTCGCATTTATCTGTAAGTATATTATTTTTTCACACGATAATTCATCCTGAAGAATATATTTTTAATTTTCGACAACTTAAATCATTTGTAATTACGTTGGAAAAAGCGAAATTGTAATTAAAACTATCTGTAAGATAAGAAATACGAATAAATAGAAATTTATCTTATTTTAATATTAAGGGAAGTATAAAATGAAACAAAGGATGCTTTAATTTGTTTTTGCTTCATGATTATTTTCATCGATTACCTTCGGATATTCTTGACAGCTTTACAACTTGAAAAAATAAATTATCTTGAGTTTACCGGAATTGTATGTATATTACATTTATGTAAAAATTGTGGTTAAAAGATAACGGAATTTACAACGTGCTAGGTAACAGATAATACCGTTATCACGTATATAAATTGTTTTAAACCGGCGCAGTGACATCGTATGTATTTGGTGCAATAACTGTGTCGATTAATTTTAAGCGACTTTGAGTCCGTAATAAATTGCGCTTCAGCTATACGTAAATAAACACAAATAGCATTCTCCGTATTTTGATGAGTTTCATTTTCCGAGTTATAAACATCCTTGTGAGCGACTAGTTTATCTCAGCTCTGAGATAGATATCGCTCAAATATTCAAGTCTGGATGCGAAGCTTCACTTCCTTTATTTCAACGATATAAACGATTGTATAAAAAATAATTTTATCAAAAAATTAAAATTAAAACAAATCACAAGACGAATAGAATATTATATAAATAGCGTGTATCGTTCGTTTCTTTTTTACACACAATTTGATCATGTATTAGTGTTTTTGTTGGGTAGCTGGAAAATGCCAGAATACTTGAATAGATTGCACGCGTTTATCTTTCATTTTAATACTCCATTGAAGCGTCCGGTGTAGTCGACGATTCGAGCGCGACTTCTTCATAATCTCTTTCCAGCGCGGCGAGGTCGTCGCGTGCATCCGCGAATTCACCTTCTTCCATACCTTCGCCGACGTACCAGTGAATGAAGGCTCGTTTATGATACATGAGATCAAACTTGTAATTTAATTTAGCCCAAGCTTCTTCGATAGCCGTGGTGTTCGACAGCATCGAGACTGCCCTTTGCACCTATATACGTACACGATAACATTTAACTGTCGACTTCTACGATATCGCAGCGATTTAATATCCGGAAGTAAGTGAACTAGAAGAGTTTCATACGCGTTCGAATAAATAAAATTTTTGTATCAACCGTTTAACGATCGCTGTCGACTTTCCTCGAGCTTGATGATTTTCAATCAACAAGATCGGACAGAGAAGGGGTATGAGAAAATATGTCTCAACGTTTGTTTATTAATTACGATCTTGACTTATCTTTTTACGTAATATAATTGGTACCTTGGCAAGGTCTCCGCCGGGCACGACGGTAGGCGGCTGATAATTTATGCCTACTTTGAATCCGGTTGGGCACCAATCCACGAAGCGTATGCAACTTTTTCTCTTCATCGCGGCAATAGCCGCGTTAACATCCTTCGGCACGACTTCGCCACGATAAAGAAGGCAACAGGCCATGTATTTGCCCTCACGCGGATCGCACTTGACCATTTGATTCGACGCTTCGAAGCATTCCGACGTTATTTCAGCGACGGACATCCCCTCGTGGAAGGCCTTGTCGGCCGATACCACCGGGGCATAAGTCACCAGTGGGAAATGAATTCTGGGGTACGGTACTAGATTCGTTTGGAATTCCGTCAGGTCTACATTAAGGGCACCGTCGAACCTCAGCGAGGCGGTAATCGAAGATACAACTTGGCTGATAAGACGATTCAGATTCGCGTAGGAAGGACGTTCGATACCGAGTTTCCGCCTACAGATATCATAAATCGCTTCGTTGTCCACCATAAACGCGCAGTCCGAATGCTCGATCGTGGTATGAGTTGTGAGAATTGCGTTATACGGTTCTACGACGGCGGTGGACACCTACATAGATACATAGTTTTTTGTCTTTCATTTCGAGATCTAATAAGACTTGGCTTGGCTATGCTCTATAGAACAACGGTTTTTAAACCAAGTTTTAAGAAACGCTGATCGAAAGAAACTGATGACTTCAGACTCGTTTGTGAAAATTGTTATGTCGTACTTGGGGGGCCGGATACACGGCGAACTCTAATTTGCTCTTTTTGCCGTAATCATCGGAGAGTTTTTGCATGAGCAACGATGTGAATCCTGATCCGGTACCTCCTCCGAATGAGTGGAAGACGAAGAATCCTTGAAGCCCGGTACACTGATCCGTCAACCTTCTGACCCGATCCATTACGGAATCTATTACCTCCCGTCCAATAGAATAGTGACCTCGAGCGTAATTGTTTGCTGCGTCCTCTTTTCCAGTGATCAATTGTTCGGGGTGATACAATTGCTTGTAACGCCCTATTCTTACTTCGTCTAGGAAAACGTTTCCGAGCGTATACAGTGATTCGCGAGCTGGCCAATCCGAGATATTTACTAACCAACAACCGTAGGCTCTAGGTCGACCATCACGGCACGCGGTACCATTTTACCGGAACTGGTCTCGTTGAAAAAAGTATTAAAACAATCGTTTGTTCCGGAAACTTTGTCTGATGGCATCGTCCCATCTGGTTGAATCCCGTGTTCGAGGCAGTATAGTTCCCAGCACGCATTGCCCATTTGAACGCCCGCTTGGCCCACGTGCATTGAGATACACTCACGCTAGACCATAATTTATCAGTTCCGTTAACAATCATCGATAAAATAAAATTACATTGCCTCGTGCAACGTTGGATAAATTTTAACGTTTCATGATCTTATCGATAAGAATGAAATGTAACACGTACCATTTTGATTAATCGTTTTTTTAACACGTATCTTGAAATACTCTATTGGATTTTCTTGAATCGACGGGTCGAAAAGGAGATTTAAAGATTTTTATGTTAATTACGAGGAATTTTGGAAGTCGGGCATCCGCTACCCAAGAAAAATACTATGACAATTTATTTCAGTTGTCTGGACGACGGAATCATCTGATTTGAATGAACGAAATAAAGGAGCATCGAAACATGGTGTGTATTTATTTGTTCTTGTACCGGGCACCGGGCAGAATGTCGATGAAACAAAGTGATGCAATAAAATTTTATTTAGACAAACTTATGTATAACTCAGAGATTGCGTAATCTGATTTATCATTTATCGATGTTTCGTTCTGATTATATCTAATGAATACACAGTTCACAAGAGGCAGTATATGATTTATAGAACTTTGAGCTTGGTACTTTACGCTGAACGATTTTATCTCGTTATATTTATTGCGTGTATTTGATTAAAGATGATGAGTGACGCGGCACGTTTCTCTTTCTCATTGCATTTAATGAATTTGCCTTTCCGCATATCACGCATCCTTTATTACAATCTCTAAAAATAGCCACGCCAAATGTACTGTTAATGTTCGGAATGGATCAGTGACCTTGACATTTTCGTCACACTGTGTCTTCGTGGAGAATCAGTTGTACAATAGTTTGCGATCTTAAGGGACTTATATAATTTATACGTAGCAAATCGATCATGCGCGTGTTCGCACATGTGCTACACCGTTGGATCTCTGTCGGTTCCTTGCCATCACTATTGAAGGAGGATCCTGCGGAGGGAGCCCGAGTTGTTACTCGTGTTTCTTCGCTGTGATGACGCCAAGAACTACTGTTGAATCAACGTGAGCGCGAGCGCGAGAGTGACTCGTGAAGTATTCGAATTCTTTCACGCGGCATGGTTTCCTTCTGGCGTGAGTGCCTGTGACCCGTAGTACTTACTTATGTGTAACGAGACTGATCATGGATTCTAGTAAAAAATATGACACGCCAAATCCAAAATTGAAGGCGAACTGTTTTAGCCGATTGATTTTTTGGTAAGTGGTTACATGACGCTGCATTTACGATATTATCAAGGGACGGTCAATTTATTTTTATTTTACTTCAAGGTGGTTGAAACCGCTATTTTGGTATGGAAGAAGTCACGATTTAGAAATCAAAGATATTTACAATGTCATGCCAGAGGATGTTAGCCAGCTTCTTGGAGATAAACTCGAGAAGTAAATATTAAACGAGCATATATTTGCATAGGATCAATATCAGTAAAATTGTTTAAACACAGAATACTTAAAATTTTCTTGCACTCTTCCTATATTTAGAAATTGGTTGAAGGAAGCTAAGGCCGCAGCAGAGGCAGATAGAAAGCCCAAGTTTTTCAAAGCCTTAAGAAATACATTCGCTTGGAAAGTCGCTTACTACGGGGGGTGGCAATGTTTCTTAGCAATGGTTATAAGGTAACACTGCATTTCTCTATTTTCATGGAATTTTCAAGTATAAATTGAAATTCTGTTCCAGAGTTGTGCAACCATATGTACTTGGCCTACTTATTTGGTACTTTGATCCAAGATCAACTTTCACTACCACAGAAGCATATATTTATGCTTCAGCCGTTGTTGTTACATCTTTGTCATCAGCATTAACTGCTCATCATGCTAGCTTAGGTTTGATGGAAGTTGGTATGAGAATGAGGATAGCATGTTCTTCTTTAATGTACAGGAAGGTGAAGCAATGATTTTTTTTAATAGTTTATCAAATACTATAGATTAGCAAAATTTTTATCAACTTATTTTGTTGTTATCAGATATTACGTCTATCGAAATCTTCTACCAATATAACTACACCTGGACAAATTATAAACCTATTATCAAATGATGTAGCAAAGTTCGAACAATTGTTTGTTGCAATACATTATATTTGGATTGTGCCACTGCAAGGTGCTTTGATTGCTTTCATGATATGGAAAAATGTAGGAATTGCATCTTTGGCCGGTATTTTTCTCATAAGTATCCAAACTCTACCTCTACAAGGTGTGCTATCTATAACTTACAAATCAATCGAAAAAGAAAAAGAGATCACTGAGTTTGATTGAATTGTTTAGGATTCATGGGGAAATGGATATCAAAGTTAAGATTAAAGATCGCAATTAAAACAGACGAAAGAGTACGTTTAATGTCGGAAATTATTGGGGGTATTCAAGTGATCAAAATGTATACATGGGAAAAACCGTTTGAGAAGCTTGTTAGCACTGTCAGAAGGTTTATTTCCACTTCATTATTCTCCTACCATCCAAATACTGCCTATTATTAAACTCGAATTCCTTTTCAGCAAAGAGATAGACGTACTGTCGATTACTTCGTACTTACGAGGGTTTACCTTAGCTAGTTTTGTGTTCACCGAGCGTACCACGTTATATTTTACACTCATGACGTATGTACTTCTCGGGAATAGTATATCAGCCGATAAGGTATTTTCGATGGCCCAGTACTTTAATATTCTACAACTTACTATGGCGATATTGTATCCCATGGCCGTATTAGCTGCCGCTGAGGCAGCTGTATCCATTAAGAGGATCGAGGTAATTAATTATCGTTAAACCGGTTTCTTATCCTTAACAGGCTCGTGTTTTACATAATTCGTACTTTTGTAGAATTTTCTACTGCTGAAAGAGAATACTAGCATAACGTATTCTGAGCCGACGAAGGGAGATGGTAGCATTATGATCAAAAACGTAACAGCATCTTGGACAGACTATGCAATATCTCATACTTTACATGACCTTAACATTCATATAGAACCCGGTAAACTCGTTGCTATCGTCGGTGCGGTTGGTTCGGGAAAGGTGATTCACTGAGTAACAAGGAGTAACATCTAGTCATGGGTGACATACTCGATATTCTCAATTCTCTCATATTTCAGAGCTCGCTTCTCAACTTGATTTTGAAAGAATTGCAACAAACGCATGGCGAGGTACGAGTAAACGGTGGCGTGTCTTACGCGAGTCAGGAAGCTTGGTTGTTCGCAGGAACGGTGCGAAATAACATACTTTTCGGACGGCCTTACGAGAGCAGACGATACTGCGAAATTGTTCGAGTGTGTGCTCTCACTAAAGATTTTCAACAGTTCAATCACGGTGACAAGACCTTAGTTGGAGATCGAGGCGCATCACTCAGTGGCGGGCAGCGTGCGAGAATTAATTTAGCCAGGTTCGTAAATATAAAACTGTTTATCTTATCGATATATAAATAAACGCGCCCAAGTTGATAAGTAACATTAATAAATTCTTGGATTACAGGGCTGTATACAGAGATGCGGATATTTATTTATTGGATGACCCGTTATCCGCAGTTGACACACACGTAGGAAAGCATTTGTTCAATGAGTGTATCAAAAGCTATCTTCAAAATAAAACGAGAATTCTCGTGACTCATCAAGTGCAGCATTTAAAGAATTGCGATTACATCATTCTGATGAACAATGTAAGCTAGAATTGATCGAGCGCTTTACATCATTCTGATGAACAATGTAAACTACGATTGAAATTAATCGAACGCGTGACTAGTCAATATTTGTTTCAGGGTAAAATCGAATCCCAGGGAACATTTGCGGAACTTCAAAAGAAAGGTACAAATTTCTTAAGCACGCTCTCAACCGAAGAAAACAAAGAGGAGTCGGAAACGACAGATCCTAGTGAAAACGCTAAAGCTGATTTAGTATGTATGACTACTTATGGTAGCAAGGATGATGATGAGGCAGAGCCTGAAGAAACGGAGGAATTGATGGCTAAAGGAAATATATCTAATGCTCTTTACTGGAAATATTTCCGAGCCGGAGGTTCCATCTGCATGATTTTGACTTTCGTATTAACTTTAATTTTTGGCCAAGTGGCAAGCAGCGGTTGCGATTATTGGGTTGCTTACTGGTTAGTACCCGTTATTCTTATTATTTTATCTTTTTAGTTTATGTTATACTTCTATTTTAGGACGAATCAAGAAGAACTACGCATTAAAAGTCTAAATACCAATCACACTTTAGAAACATCAAAACAAAACCAGAATCTTACAGTTCCACTCTCTATCTCGAATGATACGCTTGAGTCTGAAATGGATAGTTTTAATATTAGTGTCCCGGGTTTGTCAACAATGTTAGAAAATAGTCTTGTTAATGGGGTAAGTGTTTCATTTCGCGCCGTCTTAATGTTACACATAACAATTACGTATATTTTTTATTTTATTTAGACGTACGTGATGAATGCAGTACATGACGATTCGAGTTTCATCGATCGTGACACCGCTTTGTGGATTTATGGAGGTTTTATCCTTGCGAGTATAGTATTTACGTTGACAAGGAATCTTACGTTCTTTAAGATATGTATGAATGCCAGTAAAAATCTTCATAATTTCATGTTCTCGTCTTTGCTAAAAGCGCCGATGCTATTTTTCGACACAAATTCGTCTGGTAAATATTGGCTTTTACTCATTATTATACGAGTATGAGAAAGTATATCGACGTATCAAATTTTTAGGCCGCATCCTGAATCGTTTCTCGAAAGACGTCGGTTCTGTTGATGAAGTGTTACCGCGAACAATGATAGAATCGATACAAATATTTGCAGTAATGGTTGGAATCTTAGTTCAAGTTCTCATTATCAATTGGTGGACAGTATTTCCGATGATCGTAATGGGTTTCCTTTTTTGGCAAATACGAAACATCTATCTTAAAACTGCGCAAGCTATGAAACGTTTGGAAGGGAACAGTAAGTATCTTATACTGAATCATGCTGCACGTGATGACGACACGTAGCGTGTAGTTAACAGCTGTCTTCATAAATATTTTAGCGAAAAGTCCCGTGTTTTCCCACGTTAGTTCTTCATTGCTTGGATTGACGACAATTCGTTCCGCTGGTGCGCAGGAGATGGTTCGGAAAGAGTTCGATGTGCATCAAGATCTCCATACTAGTACTTACCTTTTGACCATATCAGCGAGCACTGCTTTTGGTCTAGCGTTAGATTTCGTATCTGTTGGTTTCGTTGCTTTTATTACATATAGTTTCATACTGCTCGATGACGGTAATTTGATATTTTTTATGTTACTACCGACGACACGATCGGCGCCTGGTCATTAAACCGTTTATTCACGAATCCTCAGGCAACACTTTCGCGGGGAACGTAGGATTAGCCATATCCCAAGTGCTGATTTTATGTGGCATGCTTCAGTATGGCATGCGGCAGACCGCCGAGACGATAGCACAAATGACTAGCGTAGAACGAATTTTACAATTTACGCAGTTAGATAACGAGGGACCTTTAGAAAGTGAGCCTAACAAGAAACCGTCTGCACAGTGGCCTTCTAAAGGAGAAATCAAGTTCGATCACTTGTACTTACGCTACGACGACTCCGCACCCCCAGTACTTAAAGACTTGTGTTTAGTCATTAAGCCTGGTGAAAAAGTAATTGATCTTATTTACTACTAAAACGTGTTAATTATCCAGTGGTGTTACGTTAGAACTAATGATTAAATTTGATGCTTTTCAGATAGGAATAGTCGGTCGTACAGGTGCCGGCAAAACCACTCTGATTTCAGCTCTATTCCGCTTAGCTAAACTCGAGGGTGCTATTTACATAGATAACATAGACACGAAACAAGTAGGTCTTCATGACTTACGAAAGAAGATCTCTATTATCCCGCAAGAGCCGGTGCTGTTTTCGGCATCTCTCAGAGATAATCTCGATCCGTTCCATGACTTCGATGACGCTGCTCTCTGGGAAGCTCTCGACGATGTAGAATTGAAATCAACCACTTCCTCTTTAGATTACGTCGTTGATCAGGGAGGTGCAAATTTCAGTGTCGGGCAAAGGCAGTTACTTTGCCTGGCGCGTGCCATCTTAAGGAACAATAAAATTCTTCTCCTCGACGAAGCTACAGCTAACGTCGACCCTTCGACAGATGCCTTAATACAGAATACTATACGACAGAACTTCAGACATTGCACGGTACTGACCATAGCGCACCGATTGAACACGATTATGGACAGCAACAAAGTGCTGGTCATGGATCATGGGAAAGCGATCGAATTCGATCATCCGCATATTCTGCTTCAAAACGAGGAAGGCCATTTTACTGGAATGGTGAAAGAAACTGGACACTTGATGTACGAGCAACTGAAGAAAATTGCGAAACAGGTATATCGAATTTCTATTTTGTTCTTAATGATTGTGTCAATTAAATTCAATGAACGTCTGTTGGCTTTCAGGCTTATGACAATTTATCCACCGACACAGAATTGCAACCACAATCACAAGTCCTAAATGGAACGGTACAGAGTACTTAGGAGTTTCTACTTAGACGTTTCTTTATTTTAAGGTACGACGTATATAGTCCTTAGCGAACAAAACACAATAAAGTGTGCACAATATTTTTGTACGCAATCCTTTTTTTAAACTGTTATGTCGAAAGTGTTTTAAAGCAATGTCCACACACATGCCGAAAGTATTCATTAGTTAAATATTATATTACGTATTTTAAGCTATCTGCTGTGCAGCACCATAACTTTATATATTGATATTTTTATATTTTAATAACACAAAGTGGATTTTATAACACAAAATATATTTTATATATTAGATGCAGAAAGTACTTAAAAAAATTGTACTATACACATTGTGAGAAAACTGTTACATAAAATGTGTACTATTTTAATTTTTAATAAATCATGTATACACGTTCTAAACCTTTCTGTGAAACTTTTATAAAGAAATGAATTGTATACCTATTTTACTAAGTAAGTAATATTTGATTGTAAGAACTATAGAAATGCAGAGTCTTTATTAATATAAATTGTTAGATCAATTGAACAGCACCACTTTTAACTAGATCTGCAACAGCATTATATTGTATAATGTGCTGGGATCCTGGCTCAAGATCTATCTCTTCGTCCAACGAACCTGGTATCATGATTCCATTGACTCTACTGTTAGCCCTTAAAAATACATATGCCTGCATATTGGGCTTAACACTCAATTTGTTAGTTTCAAAGTTTTGGAAAGCTCCAGGCATATGCTGCAAAGCTATCGTTTTAAAGAGCGTTTCCATATTTGAAAGAAACTCTTTTGCATATTGAAGCTCTGCAGCCGTTAGATAACATTCCTCTGCAGACCTACTTGCCTCCTGAGTAAGAATGTGGATGGTATATTTCTCAATTTTTTCTAGACGAGCTCTTAAATAACTGGAGATCACGAACTTGATCCTATCCAATTCCATTCGGTGGATCATCAATCTTATATCACTTTTATCTAACCTCTTCAAATTCTCTTCCATGTGCGTGATCTGTTGCAGCATGCACTCGACCAGGTCATTTTGATGCGGTAGAATCTCTGGTGCAAATTTTTCATTCAACCAAGCCTCCTCTATGGCAACCAAAGCGCTTTGAGCAGTTAATTCTTCCTCATCCTCTTCACCAACCTCCGTGCTCAATTCCATCGCAGAATCAGTTTCCATCATTCAAGTCTCGGATGGAAAATTGTTGCACGTTATACAAATATGTACTCTGGTTCGATTGTATTATTATCCACTATTAATAATTACTGTTTCAATAAATCAGTTAAGCAATTACCGCAACGGCATAACGGTACACGAACAATTCAAGCAAGTACTGTGTTATTATTTCAAATCGTGTAAGAATGTGTCACGTGTACGTGCGATAACGAATTCGATATTTCTCGCCGGGGATATAAATTCGAGCCGCGAGCAAGTTTTAAATTTGAAATGCGAACGAATCTAATTGTGGGATGAAAATCGTAAATTAATCTCACTTTTAATTTGTTGATCCGATAGGAACGGTGCTCCATTTCATCGTAATTTACAACGTAAACGGAAAAATTAATTTCTGAAAAGATCGTATTAAATTTCAGAAGATTTGATCGACCAAAGTTGAACAACAAAAGCATACGCTATTTTAATAAGCTCCTTACAGCATGAAACCATATTAAAGTTGAAATGTAAATAAAACTTATACAGATCTCGTAATCACGAGCCCATCAGAGCACACGCTTGAATATTTCGAATTGAACGATGACTGAACATTTATAAAAAAAAAACATAGCCCAGAGACGTTGATACTTTTCTCGATGTCTTCGGCTAACGACGGACGTATAGATTGTCGTAATATTTATCGGGTATAGAAGAATGAAAAAAGATGTAGCAGAAGAGTCTCAAAGGATGGAGTGATATATTGTGTTTCTATTCCTATTTTAGCCTCGTAAGGTTTCTGTGTGCGGCATTGAAGATACACCAAGGTATTCCTAAATCCTCGTTAACTTAATAAACTCCGTTTTAAGACTGTTTGTCGTCTTACATCCCAACGACATATAGGAAGTCAGACGTAAGGGTACATATGGGAGGGTCGAGGGATCGGTACATTATTTAAGCGAGACTCGAGCAGCGCGAAACCCGAGCCGCATCCAACAGTGGACCTAACAGCCTTCCTACATCCTTTCGATAAAATTTCAATAATCCATCGTGGCTGATCGAAACTAAACTGAGACGCGTACTTGGATTAGTTCGTTTTACTACGATTTTCTCCAAGTAGGTTGATGATAAACACACGCGAAAATGTGACAGTGTTTTATCTTGTTCTATGTGATTCTTGAAACCCGTGCGCTAGCGATATATAATTTCAGTGAGATTTTAATCTGTCCCGGAACAAAATAGATGTATAAATTCGAAAGATCGAGGCGAAGAAGAAGAGAACGAAGGGGAGAAGAGGGAGTACGGTCTAAAAGAAGTGTTGTTTAAATATTTACAGATTCGAAAATGACTCTCGTTTCGGGGCCCAGCTATGCAGCCTTCTCGCACGGAGCCCAAGCTAGGCTCGGCAACCGATCTCTCGTCGACACAATACGCCCTGAGATGCTCCACCTGATCGACGCCCACTGGTATCATTACCCGCCGCTAGACCCGATGTGGCATGGGATTCTCGGGTTCGTGATAGCTGTGCTTGCTCTCATCTCGGTTTCAGGGAACGGAATGGTCGTTTACATATTCCTCTCGACGAAGAGCCTACGTACGCCAAGCAACATGTTCGTAATCAACCTTGCCATCAGCGATTTCCTTATGATGTTCTGCATGTCACCGCCTATGGTGCGTAGAGCATCTTGCACTTACATTGTACCGGTGTTACAGTGGCTATAAACATTTTCTATTACTCAATGACACTTTCGTGGGACTGTTAAAAGTTCAATTAATCCTCGTAGACAAGATCCGCTTTTGTAGCCACTGTAAACGTGTTGTTAAAATTCGAAAATATCGAACGAAATTTGAATTTGTTGGCAGGTAATTAACTGTTTCTTCGAGACATGGGTACTGGGACCTCTCTTCTGTCAGATCTACGCGATGTTAGGCTCCTTGTACGGATGTACCTCCATATGGACGATGACAGTGATAGCGTTCGACAGGTACAACGTGATCGTCAAAGGTTTATCCGGTAAGCCGCTAACCATTAATGGAGCCCTCCTCCGGATACTGGCCATATGGCTGTTCTCCGTAATATGGACCGTCGCGCCTGTATTAGGCTGGAATCGGTAAGACTTATTCGACGACGATAACTCCGAGATCAGATCTTTAACGATCACGAACCGGGTTGTATTCCTTCCAGATACGTACCCGAGGGTAACATGACCGCTTGCGGCACCGATTACTTCAGCAAGGACTTCTTATCCGTCTCTTACATCGTGCTATACAGCCTCTGGGTATACTTCATTCCGCTGTTCCTCATCATTTGGAGCTATTATTACATCATTAGCGCGGTCGCAGCTCACGAGAAAAATATGCGAGAACAAGCGAAGAAGATGAACGTCGCTTCCCTCCGATCGTCCGAGAATCAAAATACTAGTGCCGAGGCTAAACTAGCGAAAGTATGAAAATTGATAAACGAGATCTCCCTCTGACAATTTAATCGCGTTACTCGTGAACGAAACATTCCTATGTTATTTTCAGGTTGCCCTTATGACCATCTCTCTTTGGTTCATGGCCTGGACTCCGTACTTAGTCATCAATTGGGCTGGAATATTCGATCTCGTTAAAATCAGTCCGCTTTTCACCATTTGGGGTTCTCTGTTTGCCAAAGCCAACGCGGTTTACAATCCGATCGTTTACGGAATTAGGTAAGTGTCTTTCGCGCTGTTCATACGGAGTATATCGCTTTGATTAGGGTATGAATCTCGCATTGATTACTATACTCGGTCCAAATAAATTTTCTTTTCTTTCATAGCCATCCGAAGTACCGTGCCGCACTCTTCTTGAAATTCCCGTCGTTGGCATGCGCCGCTGCACCAGCAGCCACGGACGCCACATCCACCGTGTCCGGTACCACGACCGTTGCAGATGCAGAAAAATCGAACGCGTAAAACGGCGCACTGTGACGGATCCAAAATTGATCAACAGATTACGAACTAGCCTGATTCAAAACGAAGACACCAAGTTTAATTACAGACGCGGTATTGTAAATATTGGACTATTGTTTCAGAGAGAACTTTTGTCCGCGAGGAAAATGCAAAAAGAAATTCCAAATTCAGATTTCAATCGAATGTGTTCAAGTTAAATAAAAAGAAATGATGATATACGTGCGTGCGGCGCATTACATTCAACGACGAGGAAAACATACAAAAGACTCTGGTAAGACGGAATCTCAATGATCGAGTATGAACAATATTTCAATCACTTGTGATCGGATGCGAGATTCGCATTACACCACAATGCGAATCGTTCCTCATCGATGCACGGGCATGATTACAAATTTTGTACATATAATTATTCCGTAGCGTTGCAGTGTACATGGTCACTTCGGTATAACCGGCTTATCGTGTTTACTAGATTAGTAAGCATATAACCGTAATATCATCATAAATAGAATGTAAAGGGGGGAAGCGTTGTATCTGTACCTTAATTTTATAAAAGCAAATAAATTCAAGCAAGCAATTGTACCTGAGTTTAATCGTTTACCCACTATAAAAATACGAATACGAGTCCCGTATAGATCCAAGATGCATGTAATACACTTCCCGTGTTTAAAAAAGGAATAAGTTAATTTCCAAATCGCCTCTCCGACGTAATCAACACTTACGGTTCCGGTCCCTTTTCGGAGTCATTCGAAAGATCGAAGCGGAGTGCAGAAAGCCTCCGAATAATACAGTCCACTTAGCACCAGCTGAGCTGATTCAGCGTGCGGCTCACAAAATTGACGTGAGCCCGTATTTATTTCTTTGTCTTTTACAGCGATCGAAATAACCGGCGGCAGGAGCAAGGAAGGAAAAAATATTTGAATAAACCAGGTTTCGTTTTTGTTTAATTTTCTGATTCAGTTATTTCGAACACCCGTTCTCCCGGCCGAACCCCGTTAGGGCTGCCTATCCCTAACATCCCGTCTTAATTCCATTTTTTATTCGTCGTCGCATTCATTCGAATAAACGAAAGAAGAGTCTATATAAGTATCCAGTAATTCGTTCTCCTAGTTTCCTGCAGACTCTGAAGGCTTTTCTCCGCCAGCTGCAGCATTTTGATCCTCCGTCGAGCCGCACACCAAAAACGGTAGTTTCTCTTTCAACGCGGCTCTATATTTTGGGTGACTGTAAAAACAATTCGACAGATTGTTAATACAGTTTTGTTTTATTTAATCGAAACGAAATACGTAGACGTATGTACCTGACCCCATAAACGATTGGATTGTATATAGCATTCGCCTTTGCAAAGAGCGAACCCCATATCGTGAAAAGAGGCGTGAGTAAAGACCGATTGAATATTCCAATGTAATTAATCACGAGATACGGTGTCCATGCCATAAACCAGAGTGATATTGTCGTTAACGCTACCTAAAATACGTGTAAATGCGATTGATGAATTCGATAATCAATCACTTAGAACGTGATACCTTTGCTAGTTTGGCCTCAGCTCCCGCGCCTTGATTGTCGCCAGATCGTAAGGAAGCAACGTTCATTTTTTTCGCTTGTTCTCTCATTGCTTTTTCGTGCGCTGCAACGGTCTGTGAAGCGAAGAGATAGGTAAGTGTTCAGAGATAGTTAAAGATTTTTAATCGATCCAGTATCGAGATACTCACCGAGACGATAAAATAGTAACTATAAATAATTGTGAATAAGGGGGTGTAATAAACAAAAACGGAGTATACTAATATGTACGACTTTGAAACCCAGTCTTCGGTGATGTAATCCGTACCACACGAACTCATATTACCCTCGGGAACGTATCTAACTCACACACGATATATTATTGTTAATTTCCATTTGTATCATGCTTGAACGATAAATACGTATAATACCTGTTCCATCCTACCATGGGTAGAATTGTCCATATCATACCGAAGGACCAGATCCCTAGAATCTGGAATATTGCTCTCTTGATGGTCAGAGGAGTTCCAGACATGCCCTAAAAATATTTTACTCTCATGTAATATAATTTTTATTATTCTTAGCACACTTACTTTCACTATGACATTGTATCTATCTAAAGCAATAGCTGTCATGGTCCATATGGAAGCACATCCACATAACGATCCAACCATTGCATAAATATCACACATCAAAGTACCTGATTAAAAATTTATGTTTTTACGTCCAAGTCCGAAACATCTATACAATTACCATATAGTTTTCTTACCAAGGACCCAAGTTTCATAAAAGCAGCAGATTACCATAGGTGGGCTCATGAAACCCATCATTATAAAATCAGAGAAAGCAAGATTCACTACCAAAAGATTGCTCGGTGTTCTCAGGGATGGTGTCATTAAAAAGACGTAGACTACTACACCATTTCCAAACCATCCTATGAAACCTAATACGATCATAACTAGTCCCAGAATTAAATGCCATAGTGGATCCAGTGGAGGAAATCTATACCTACATTTTGAAGCGATGAGAATAAAATGTAAATGACAATTTGACTACAATTCTTATATTAATTTCAATAATTACCAGAATGGATCTATTAGATGTAGCATTTCTTCTGGTACTTTACTAATAACCGTTTTATTATTGAAACGCATTATCTGTCTTGCAAAATGTGGTCCTGCAGCAGTTGTCAAGGTAGCAATGCTTGAAGGAATAGCTCCAATAGGAGCGATAGTTGTAGTTGTCACGTTGAGGGTATCCATTATCACTTAATTTTACAGAAGGGATTTGGATTTACACAGAAAAATAATTTGATAACATAACACATTCTACTATTCACATTCTGCAACTGCAATTATAAGTGCATTGTTCTGCTTTTATATGGGCAGTTGGGTGGAGATCCAATAATATTATCCAATAAAATATTCAAATTCTTATGTATAGCATAATAAACGTATTCATACTACTATTGCGACGTACAAGAAGTACTGTCATCTTAAATTCAAGGTAATCTTATCAAAGTGAAACTTTACATATGCACTTATATTTCAGTTGAGATGATCAATATAGATTCAATTAATATGCAGAATTGTACAGTAGCGTTTAAGTAGAAATAACTTGGACATATATGTTATACATTATTATTAATTTATTTCATAAAATAAGCAACGGTATTATATATTATACATATTATTTTATTACTCTTGAAAGTCGACGAATGTGTTGACTACGACCTTCTTGAAGAGCTTCTTCTAATTGTTGTGTTATATGCAACAAATTAACAGGATCTGTCTGAAGTAACACATGTTCAATATCCTCGTCCTTGTCTGAGTTCTTTATAGACAAATCGAAAGTGATAAGTGGAGCGACTTGTTTCAGTAGTGTCCTTGACGCAATCTTAAAAGAAGAAAGTTCATTATATATTACAGACGTTTAAATGTTAGACGCGATGTTAAAAAATGATGTGCAACCTGGACTTCAAATCTCCATTCCATATCATGATACTGTGGTAATTTAAATCCGGTGTTTGCAAGTGTATTCGACGTCTCATCCTTTTTGGCATTATACAATTTACTTAATACGACTTCCTGTTGTTCCGAAAAGCCTAAAGATATCACAGAATCCCTGAAGTCCTCAGTAGTCAACTGTAAATTTTAAATATCAGAGGAAGCGTTCGTTCGTATGTATATGTATTTATTCAAATTTCCCTTACCTGATATCTGCAACTTTCTAGTAATAGGTTAACAAGTCCTTCCACTGAACTCTTAATTACGCTTACGTCGACCTCCAATTTTTCTGAAACAAGGATTAAGATTGTAAACTTTCTCCTTACTCTTTCAATTAGGACGAAAAATCTACGATTTTTACTTACGAGCAGCTGCATTATATAGTTTAATGTTTGGTCCTTTTTGCAAGTAGTCTACAGCCAATTTGCAAAAGTCCTGCAAAACTAAAGAAATAAATGGAAATAGACGATCGTTACGTCGGAACGAAATACAAATCGAAGATGATACCTTGCGGTGTGTGTTCCGTGAGAAGCAGCACGTGCTTCTTATGATCTGGTTTTAATGTTAATAACATTATTATATATCATTGACAATTTATATTGATTTATGCATCGAAGAATGTTTTTGACAGTACGTGCGTGTTTACATATAATCTAAGAGTCAGACAACCCGCCATATTTAATGCGTGGGAGTATCCCCACCGTGGAGCTATAAAAGTGATTACCCGAATAATACGTAATGTCGGCATTGCTGTCGATGACTTGATAGCAGACTATTTAACTGTTCTTTGCATATGCGAAGAAAGAAATAGGCAGAATAAGAAAGAATACGTATATGTACACGTAATATGCATAAATTATTTCGAAACAGTAGTAGGATGATGATTCAATAAGTGAGGCAACGAAAGTTTCACGACGGATTTATTAACAAATTCAATTAGAAAGAAGGCTAGTGACATTCAATGGTAAATATCTTTTTTATTTAATAGTATTGATGTAACATGGGTATTGTTCTCCTTTCATCTGAATTTATGCCTTTTGCTGACCAAGTGATGCTTTCATTTGGGCTTGTTGAAACATTTGTTGATACTTGTCAAGCGTTTCACGCTGAGAGTCTTGTTTTTTATCTAATGTACTTATCAATTCTTCTACTCTTTTCCTGAAATTAAAGGAATACATCGACAATCATCATTGAACTTTTTATGTTCTCGTATATTTAAGTGTATTTAGGATCTTACAATTCTGAAGAAATATATTCCATCCTCTTAGCAACATTTTGTTTCGCTTCCTCTAGGTCCCTTTTAATGAGAACAGGTCCGAGTAATGTAAAAACATCATCGTCTGCTTTTAAAAGATCTAATTCCTTTTTAACAGCTATATTTTCATTCAGCTGTACATCCAGTTGTTGTCTCTGACTCAAGGCTTTGTGGTAATCTGATACAAACAGAATCTATGTATAACAAGGCAATCAATTAATCGCAATTACCTGGTGAACATTATAAAGAAACAGTTTTATGTAACGCAGAAAATAAAGTACCTCTTTGAACCTGTTTATACTTGTCTATTTCTCCTTTTAATTTCTTCTGGATTTCTTCTGTCATATTGCTCTAAAAAATGATAATAGATCCAAATATAGTTATGCCGTAACGAGGTTATATCAGACGAATATGCGATTATATTTCAAATACACGTACTCTATTAAAGTACGTAAAGAAACGCAAATACTCTAAATACAAATTACGATTATCTTAAATCTCGACTTAGCCGGAGGAGACTAAAATTACGAAAGTAACGTTTTGTTTCACGAGCTGCACAGCAAATATTCGTCATGAGAAAATAAAGAAGACTAGGAAATCGTTGACACTTTTAGGGATACTACGGGTAACTGAGTTTATACTTACTTTAATCTGTTTTATTGTAATTCTAAAATATTGACTGACTTAAGTAAATGCTTCACTGACGTATTTACCGCATACACACTTCCATAAATGTACACTAACCCACACTAACCTCAAATGATTTTGGGGTTGGTACCATCTAGCGTTCACGACCATAAACCCTCTTGGTTTGAATTTTTATTGTCTACTTACTTGAAAAGGACCAGCATTGTGGTCAAAACGTCGTAACAACTGTAAAATGAATTGTAGTCCACGAAATTGAGATTAATAAAGAAATTAAACAATAAGTTAATATTATTCACAATCTTCCTGCAATATTCCTGCAACATCCCTGCAATATTGCTGCAACTTACAAGGGGCGGACATAGAAATATTGCTGCAACATTTCTTGCAAGATTTAATATTGCAAAGTAATGTTCCTGCAATATTTCTGCAATATTCGAGGCTGTCTGGGTAATCCCATGCAGTTTCCTCGTAGGATCAACGATTTTAGAGATATTTGAGAACAAACAAAATGAATATTGTATGCTATATAGATCTTCGGGCTCCAAGAGCGCGTAGAAGTAAAAGAGGACATCCAATTTAACACGGTTATCAAACTAGTTGTTTTTCATATAGTCATTTGTTTAATTACAATTAAATGTGCTCACATTAAGAGCGAACGTATATAAATAGCATCTATTGGCGAGAAAGTCTCAATGTGAAGAAAGAATATTCGACCGATGGGTACTATTAAATATAATCAGGCAAAAATTGCCATCCTAACGTTGTACGTTTTATACGAAATATGTTGTTGCTATACAGGTAAAACACATTAAATAATTGGTTTAATTCTTAAGTTAAGTGAAAGTGAACGACATAATTTTTAGAATCCGACAAGTTGTCCAACGAAGAGACTTACGGGATTATCTCCCATATGATTCCGAAATGCAATTTCGGTGTCGAATCAGTGTCATACTTTTTATACACGAGGTAACGTACGCCTCCAATTACATTTTATGAAAATTATTACTTTTCAATTGTTTCCATTCGAACTAAATAGAGATGCACCGTATGGGAAAGTAATTAAAATAGACGATGACCAGATACCGATCCATGCTAACAAACCAGTCGCATTCCTTATACACGGCTTCATGTCCGAAGCCAATAATTCAAATCACTTCGAACTAATCACAGCTTGGTTACAAAAAGTAAGAAATTGGAAACCTTCACCTTCTGGATTATTAAATTCTCTAATTGGAAAATCATTTACAGGACGATATAAATATTTTTTCGTTAGACTGGTCAGACGCCGCGTGTGACGGAGAGTTCAGTGTTACGGACTTACTCAGTTATAATAGTGCCGTTAAGAATGTTCCCATCGTCAGCGAATATTTAACTAAGTGATTCTCAAACATTTTCTCATTTGTACGACACCATACAACCTTTCATCGATATCGTTAATATTACAGCTTTACGATTAAATTGGTCGAAGAGTATGATGTGAGGGTGGACGAAATCTTAGTCATCGGGCACAGTCTTGGTGCCCACGTAGCTGGACTTTCTGGGAAGAGTGTGCAAGGGATATTGAAGCAAAAGTATAAACAGATCATCGGTCTCGATCCTGCCGGACCTGAGTTTAATGACAGAGATTGTACCGAGAAACTCTGTAACTCGGATGCTGCGTTCGTACAAGTATTTCACACGTCGCATTTCGCCGGAATAAACTACGCGATCGGTGATGCGGACTTTTATTTCAACGGTGGTAACACGCAACCCGGATGTAAGTATTTAGAAAATAAATGAATAAGTGTAATGTTTAATTAATCTAAAGTACATATATATATTCTTTTATTTTAGGTATACTTACAGTTTGCTCTCACAGTAGAGCAGTGATATACCTTACCATGATTTTATTACACCCGCCGTGTTTCATAGGAACTGCTTGGACAGTGGGATCCGAGTAATAAAACCTTCGATTTCTCTATCAATCTTAAGATTGTTTTTCTGTCATGTTGTTCTAATAAAAATGATTATAGATCCATCCTAGATGTGAATCAATGCGAAGCAAATATTTGTACATATTTCGGATTGGACACTTTCGAAGAAATTGCCAGAGGAGTTTATTACGTAAATACAACAGACACCGAACCATTTTGTATTTTGTAATAAAATATGTATATATAATTGTAATATACAATGTATAAAATAAAATGCATTTCAGTGTGTTATATAATTGTTCCATCATTTCATTATATTTGAATTAATTTACGTGCATCATACAGATTCCTTTTAGCGCCTAATTCCGTCGAATTGCGGTCACGTGACATCTTTAGCTGTGACGCGTCTTTTAGACGCCTATAGGCGTAACTATAGTTACAAAAAATCCCACGGGGTGCACAATTCTGCCCAAACCCTACACTGAGTATAATGCAGTTTGTTGATTTCAATTGAGTTGTATTTGATCGCAAAGTGAATCGAGTGTTGTTTTCGTACCAGTTAAAAAAGATGGAAACAATACTTGAACAGCAACGGCGTTATCACGAGGAGAGGGAAAGGTTAATGGACGCGATGGTCAAAGAAATGCTTTACAAGAAGCCTGGTCACAGGGAAAGTATAAACTCGGAGCATCGTTTAAAAATGTTACTCGATCAGTACATGGACAGTACTGCACATTTGCAGGAGTTGTACGAAGATAAAGATGGTCAAAGGAAGGAGGAGGTTCGTATTTTTACTTTCATCACGTATTACTTATAATTCTTTATACGAAACTTCCTTTTCATATAGGTGCAAGCACTTTCTGGACCAAACGAATTTTCCGAATTTTATTCCCGATTGAAATCTATAAAAGAATTTTATCGGCGACATCCCAATGAAATCAGTATTCCAATGTCTGTGGAATTTGAGGAGTTAGCTAAAATGAGAGAAAATCCCACTGAGGAACTCTCAAATCTTGTCGAATTCACAGACGAGGAAGGTTATGGGAAATATCTAGATCTGCATGAATGTTATGAAAAATATATCAATCTTAAAGGAATAGAAAAGATAGATTATATCACATATCTGTCCATTTTTGATCATTTGTTCGATATACCGAGGGAAAGAAAGAATGCTGAATATCAGAAATATGTGGAGTCGCTGTTAGAGTATTTGACTGACTATTTGAGCAGAGTCAGACCTCTGCTCGATATAAATGCTGAGCTGGAGGAAGCTAATAAAGAATTTGAGATACAATGGGAGAACAGTTCATTTCCAGGATGGCCAAAAGAAACTGGCAGTGCTCTAACACATGTAGGAGCCCATTTAGAACTTTCTGCTTTTTCCTCGTGGGAGGAGCTAGCCTCTTTGGGACTCGACAGACTAAAATCTGCACTGATGGCTTTAGGTTTAAAGTGTGGTGGCACGTTGGAAGAGAGAGCTCAAAGGCTTTTTAGTACAAAAGGAGAGGCATCTTTGGACCCGAATCTATTAGCTAAAAATAATAAGAACAGAAAGTCCGGAAAGGGAAGGAACAGTGAGAAGCAGAAAGAAATAGCGCGTTTGGAAGCTCAAGTATACAGACTCGCGGAGTTGGTATCGACGCAACGCGTTGCTACGAAGGAGAATGTTCAGAGGAAGCAAGCTAGGACAGAGGGTGAAAGGGGAGATTCCGATGCCGAGGCCAGTGCCAGCGAATCAGAAGAAGAAGATGATAATGAAGTCCCTTATAATCCCAAAAATCTTCCTCTTGGTTGGGACGGCAAGCCTATACCATATTGGTTATATAAATTACACGGGTTAAATATTAGTTACAATTGCGAGATATGTGGAAATTTCACGTATAAAGGACCGAAAGCTTTCCAACGACATTTCGCGGAATGGAGACACGCACACGGTATGCGTTGCCTCGGCATTCCGAACACTGCACATTTCGCTAATGTCACACAAATAGAAGATGCTGTAGCGTTATGGGAGAAATTAAAGGCGCAGAAGCAAGCAGAACGTTGGCAACCGGAACAAGAAGAGGAATTCGAGGACTCGCTTGGAAACGTCGTTAATCGTAAAACATACGAGGACTTAAAAAGACAAGGTCTTTTATAAAGACACTTTAATCACAATAATATATTTCATACATTACAATTGTATTAAAATAACTTTAATAAATAATGCAATTTTATCAGCACAATCTTAATAGATTAGACTTAAATTATTAGACCATAAGTTCTCCGCTTGATACCATTTCTAAAGAGCAGCGAACTCATACCTTTGCACGTTTAAATTACTTATATTTTAACACAACACGAGCATTATACGTCGGAAGCCGGTAAAAAATCTATATAGCGAAACGGTACTTATCGATGTACAGTTTGCGTTAGTTAAGACAAAATTGGATATATATGATTATACTTCAGAAATGATATCAACCAATATCAACCACGTGGAGGTGACTACGACCGACACTCGGAAAGTGCATGGATACAGCCAATACTCACTGCTGTCTCAGTGAAACGTGGAAGACATTGAAAAAGCAATGTCTAAAATTGTTCACCTAACAAAATAAATGTGTCGCAAAAGAATTGGACCGTTTTCTTTAGAGAATAAATAATTGTACAAGTTCGCGCGAAACTTTTTAAACCTATCCTACTAATTTGCATTTTGCATTCGTGAGATACGCGAGTAACCGATGTTTAAATAAACGCCAAATCAATATTTGCGTTGGCGATTTTTTCTTAATCGCATACATTACTCTAATCGTGACGCATACATGTATGAGGAATAGAAATTCATGCATATAAATATACGTGGAGAATATGTAAGTGATCTAAGCATTTACGTATTTGTAGTTCCGGTTGAAGCCAGTGCACGAAGAGATGTCGTACATGTTCGCGCGGACAGTTACTTGTTAACATTTAGCCATTGTGTCGTGAGGATCTGTTGAATAATTGTGATTGTTTTTCGTGTTCCCGTTAATATCGAATAAAGTTATGCAGTTTTATAAGGAGAAGTTACTGTCGCCGGGACAATTGAAACGACTTAGCGAGCACAAGTACAGTTGCTCGACGAACAGTCTCCTCGATGGCCTCCTCCAACCGTGGTGGGACTGGCTCGTTAGCAAAGTTCCACTTTGGCTTGCGCCCAATTTGATCACGATCGTCGGTCTGATCGTGAACATTGCGACCACTTTGATCCTCGTATATTACAGTCCGGATGCCAGGACCGAAGTAATTATTTGCTTAACCTGCCTCCTCTCTTAACCTCAAGAACCCTACGATTTTTCAACGTATCACACTATGAATCCTCGAAATAAAATCTAAACGATATAAATATTAATGTTGTCAGTAGATTTTTTAACTCGCCTCGCAATGTCTTGAAGAAAGATACACGAGGTCATCAATGTCAGATTTAGAAACTCTATTTTTTGTGTCTTTACAAGAAATTGATTTGTATTCAATTGCATATTCATTAAAAAAGTAAAAAACAAAATCATGTCTTTAGCTTTTGATTAACGTTGAAAGAATGTTCTATTCTAATGTGTTTGCATATTGTGCGTACAATCGTACATAGAATGGAATTGCTTGAATGTTTTAGGCACCAAGGTGGGCATGCTTTTTATGTGCACTTGGTTTATTCATTTATCAAAGTTTAGATGCCATAGATGGCAAGCAAGCCAGAAGAACAGGGACTTCGACACCGTTAGGTGAACTGTTTGATCATGGATGTGATTCCATATCAACTGGTACGTTGATAAACTTATCTAAACTTTTCAATTTTTAACATCCCACGTTAATAATCCAGATATGTTCAGAAAATTCATGTTACTAATAGAATATTCTCATTTCGTTTCTTCTAGTGTTTATTGCACTCTCAGCCTGCATAGCGGTACAGTTAGGATATTATCCGACATGGATGTTTTTCCAGTGCTTCTGTGCTATGACACTTTTCTATTGTGCCCATTGGCAAACATACGTTTCAGGTGAGATCTCATTCTCCTTTGTACGTGTTGGCAACAGTCATTTAAATCTTTTCATAGCATAAATGTTCCTTAATAGGTTCTTTGAGGTTTGGTAAAGTGGATGTCACAGAAGCACAATTTACTATTATAATGATTCATCTAATTTCTGCTGTCTTTGGACCGAGAGTGTGGATGATGGAGGTTGTACTTATTTTAATAATATTAGTTTAATGGTAAAATATTTTATGCCATCAAATAACTCTGATTACTCACTGATACTTTTTTAATTGTTTTAAACACATTCGCACATAATTAGCTAGATGACTGGCATAAAACATTTCTTTAATTTTAGTTCCTAGATATAAGCTCTTTCAATGTCAATTTTTTTAACAATGAAAACGTTTAAGGTACAGTAGATCTTCCACTAATTCGTGTAACAATTGCACTTCACGATATCTTCGGACGAATATTCCATTTTTTCATGTTACAGATTTGTTCCGGTATTAAGTTCCCGTATTACTTAAACATTCATCAAATTTTGTTAGGTTTCTCATCTTTTTCGTTACCTTTCTTTCATTTTCTCATGGTCAGAAATCGGGCCATTCGCAGACATTTCGTTTAAGTCGTAATTTATTATTTACGACCGTAGCTGCCATCTCCACAAATAGATTAATTGTTACATAAATATGCATTAGTATGTTTGCTTCCACTTTTTTTCATACACTTTGCTACCGATAAAAAACAAGTAGCGTAAGGGCAATTGTAAATTTAAAATAATTTTTAGTGTACGTTTGAGAACAAAATTTATCTCAAGACTCATGGCGTTTACGAAAAAAAACTTGAAACTATTAGCTGCATGAGTCTAACGAGATTATTTCTTACAGATACCATACATAGATGGTCTTATGCTTAAGTATTTAATAGGAGTTGTTACTTTAATTTGTGCACTGGCAAACTTGTATTCCATCTTTTCGGTGATTTTCACCGGAGGAGTGGGCAAGAACGGTTCAACTGTGGCTGTAAGTTAGTCAAATTAGACTTTCGTTTTTTTTTTGGAGATTTGGAAATGGGAGCAGCATGGCATGAGGAGCGGCGCTGAGATTATCTATTTTTTTTTTTTGCTATGAGACTTGTATAACATGCATTTTTATTTACGAGTTTTCTTACTCATTCATTACCCTTTGACCATTTCTTTCTTATTTTCCTGCATTACATCGTTATTCATCATGAACGCATTGTAACAACAATTTTTTCCATCGAATTAATTAACATCGAAAAATAGAGTTTACGATACAATGAAAGGATATTTAGGGTACACAACTTACAATTTACTCAAGACTCTGAACTATGCTTTTGAAACAATTTCTATCAAAGAAATGTCCATAATCAATCTAACAAGTTAGGTACAACTTGATACTAAAATAGTTTGCGTTAGCTCGAAAACACTGGACAAGCAATTTAACGTGCTCACGTTTCGTTAACTGGAGATACAGAATTTTCCTTCATGAATCTAAATATTTGAATTTTCTTTGACTAAACAAATTGCGTGTTCATTGTTCACTATATCCCGCAGCTCCCTCGTGCCTGATGTTTTAATTTACCGTTGTTTAGGAATAAAATCTAATAACCACAAGTGGAACTCTAGCCCATGGCGAACCGTAAGAAAGGAAGTAAGAGTTAGGATAACTTAGGATAACACCCGCACTTCTGTCTATGCAATTTTGCTAACGAGCGAGATTTTGTACATTTGTTTAGATACCAGTGCTCGGTCTAGGCACGGTCAGTAACTACATAGCCGTGTTATTTTATGCAGGCTACGTTCACGTATTCCTTGAATTCTGTAAAGTGTTTGAATCCGGTGGAATTGGGAAGAACGGTTCCACGATTGCAGTAAGTTTTTCCAAGGCCAAAGAAAATTCCGTCTCTCAATCGGTTGCGTACTCTTATAGCATTTTGGTAACAAGATCTTCTCTCTCATTCTGCTTATTCTATCTAGACTGGGTTTGTTTATAAATACTTTCTGCGTTACTAAATCTCTACTTCTCAATTTTCACGCAGCGTACTTTTTCACGACAAGAAACATATCTGTATGGTGCTCGGGCCATGATATACACTTGTAGTTTCATTGAACATTTGCCAATTACACTCCACGAATATCACAGCGAATATAATCAATTTGCAGCTAAACTCTCATTTGGAGAAAGGTTTAACAATTACATTAACATCTGATCTGTGTAAAGTTAATGATAATCGCGTAACTCACATTTTGAAGATGTGAAATTGTTTCAAGAGCAACTATGTTCTCGGCGGGTACGTAAAACGTGTAACGTGTTGCGCGCAGAGATTGACGTTGAATGTGAACATGATTAAGAAATTAACTAATGGAAAGGTTTTTCGTGTCGCTTGCACAGTTGCCATACACTGGCACAGAGGTCAAGGTGTTTCCATTATGGGCTGCTGTGGGCATCGCTATTTTACTTGCACAGAGCAGCATATCCGTCATTCTTGCCGGTGGTGTCGGAAAAAATGGCTCCACCGTCGCAGTAAGTCAATTAAAAGATAAATAGGATCATTGTGTAGTGCACTTTGCATTTTATTGTCGTTTAGGCCCATGCCTAGGAAGAGAGTTGTTCGACTTAACGCGAAAAATTTTCATGTACAGAATGCTCCCAGTGATCGTAACACGAGATTCTGTGCATTGGCACAAAGTAAATATAACGATGAGATTGCAGCAGAGAATAAGTCCTTAATTTCGTTTATTCAGGCTGGTTTTTCTGGGTCTAAATTGTTGCAAGAGCATCACACAGAATCGTTTATTGTATCTTTGTCTCCACTTTGGCTAACACCTTTTCCTGGATATCTAAAAGTCCATATTGGTACCATCATACATGTTTTCTTCCACTCTGCGCACTTTGACGCATCTTTCCCTGCACTTAACAATCTTTCAAGGATGACTGCATGCGTGCACGTAAATCGAATAAAAGTACTACAATAACAATAGTACTCGCTTAGTTGTATTTAAGTCTAACAATTTAATGCTGTCATCTACAAGTAGATATTTAGTATTTCTTCTGTATAATAAGTAACTAATTTCAGAACATTTGTGATAGCTTGCTTTAGCTGTAGAATATAAAGTATAGATTGATTAATAAATATTGATTTACTCTGAAAATCAATTTTTTATCATTCAATTTCAACTTTATATACATGAAACATCAGTTCTTGTATCTTTTAAAAACTATATATAGAGTTTAACGAAATGATCGTCCAACAATTAAATGTCGAGTGTTTTATCCGTCGCTTGACAAACACTTTCCATTTAACTGTTCAATAATGACTAAGTAAAGGTGTCTCCATAATGTTCGTCCCCTTGTTTTAGGGAACATCAGTTTTATCGCCGATTATTCCATTTAGTTTCGTGGTAGTACCGGCGTTCATAATTTATAGAAAAAGTGCCGAGCACGTATACGAAAATCATCCCGCGTTGTACATACTCGCATTCGGAATGGTTGCGGCTAAAGTTACCAATCGATTAGTGGTAGGTATATACGATCTGAATGCCGATAGCTTTATTCAAATTATATGTTTTACGTTCTACGTGATTTGTTATAGGTCGCGCATATGACGAAAAATGAAATGCAATATTTAGACAGTTCACTGATCGGACCGGCGATGCTGTTCCTGAATCAGTATTTCAACTTCTTCATCAAAGAATATTACGTTCTTTGGCTGTGTTTTGTAAGTATTTTATATTGAACGTTATAACAATTGTAAATATTCTGTTATTCTATGTTTCGCGTTTTCTGTTGTTAGATTTGGGTTACTCTGGATCTACTACGGTACAGTGCTCAAATTTGCCTTGAGATCTGCGATTACATGAAGATCAAACTGTTTAGAATACCATTAGTGGATCACCGAACAAGCCAGGTTTCTAATACTGCTGAGAAAAATGGTACTAACAGGTTCCAACGTAACAGATGCAAAAAAACCGTACCTAGGACTTATCTGTGATAATGAATGCGCTGTACGATTCATTTAATGTATAAATGGGAAAGGAGTTAACGATATAAGGAGGCATAGAAAGATTTGATAAATTTTGTTATGTCACCACTGTATATATACAATGCAAATGCTCGAATAGTACAGTTCATTTATTATCATATTATTAATTTATGATCACCGCCGCATCTGATTAGTATTGAGAATATAAATAAAAAGTCTCATCAACATTGTTGGTCGAATATTACTCACTGCTTACTGTGGATCGCGATCACTTTGGTTGTCGACGAATAGAGCGAGTTACGAATTCAGTGATGAATATTAGAAAAAAAGAGAACCGGTGAAACTCTGAAATAAATCACGAAACGACACGATTTAAAGTAAGAGAAGTGATACATAGTTATTATAGAAGAATTTAATCGAAAGACATGAGAAACTCTAAGTTTTCAACTCTATGTCACTGTTACATGTTTTATAAAAACAATTTAATTAATGAATGATTTATTTTATTACTATTTAAATACAAGAATAATTAGAGTTAATTAATTACAAAGACATTCTTTTCTCCAGATAATGTAAAGAAAGAAATAGACGAATTTTTTTCTTAAAGGTTGTGTTTAACGTTGTTAATGTTATTCTTTAGTTACACCATTGCAACCATGATCTCATAGAATATTTTAACAGTTCATGTGTTGAAGTGACGTGGGATAATTTTGGTTTTAAACTTATATAAATCTAGTATACTTGTAATAGTTTTAAAATATAAATATTCCAATAATTCTATAGTCAATTACAAAAGAAATTAGTATAAGCAAACTACCAAAGATAGTTTGAGCTAAAATAATTTATATATCTTCTTTTTACTGTTAACAAATTTACATTGAAAGTTTCGTGGAATTGAAGTGATATTACTGGCGGGCAGATTCCTGTTTTTATGTTTTGTATTTTGAAACACATTTTCTTTCGTTGTTCGCAATCAACAAAGAACTGTATGATATAAAGTGACACGTAACAATTTTGACGTAGATTCAGCTCAAGGTTGTGGCCTTACTACACGCTTAAGATTGCGATCGCGTAGAATATTTTACCGGTTAAAAATTAAAACTTTCGAGTATATAATTTTCGATTTATTCTGTACATAAAATTCCACGCGTGGCAAAAGAATCGAATCTCTCGTGAAACGCGAGTCATTGTGAAATTTATTTTTTGCAAAAGAATTACGGCAGATATTTGTTTATTGAAATGTCCAAACGTTTTAAGTGCCACCGAACTATTCGGAATTTCGATATGCTATAAACTTCGTAAACAGCGGAAAGTGAACTTTATGAGAATGTGCGTCGTGCATAATAAGGAATGCATAATCATATGAAATTACCCCTAGAAAAGATTTTAGATCCTTAGTGATTTTATATATATATATATATACACATACACATATATATATATATATACACATCACGAGAAATTGATGAATGATAATTAACTTTTTCATTAGACTGCGTTGTAAAAAATAAACGTTAGTTCACTTCATTCGAGATTGTACAGGGAATGTTCCCTCAAAATTGTTATTAACAATTGCATAACTGTGCATGGAAAAAAAAAATCGTACGACGAGTTTGAACTAATTGAAACGTTTCATCGGATTCCGGATTATCCTCTGGTGTTATGTTACTTCGCGAAGAGCAAACCCATTAAATGATACAGCATTTCAATTCATACGATTGTCACGAGATCCTTGGATTTTTATCAGAACGTTTTAAGATTAATCAGAACGACAATATTTCTATGAGGCTTATCAGCAACGTTGCCTGAGAAAATAAATACAAATGTAATCTGATACTTAAATGTACCGTACCTTCGTTTTTGTTCATAAAGTGTAATATACTTTTTCGATAAAATCATTTTCCTATCACACGATATATTTCATTCTATATCTCGCATCGCGAGAAAGCTCTCTGTATGATTAGAATATCTTTCAAGTTATAATAATACATTTTCCCGTTTCCCCATATACGGACACGATCCGAACGATTTAATCCCTCCGGAACGGCTTGGCAAAGGTGATACTTTCAATTAAACTCCGAATCTTCCTCTCAAATAAAAATATTAACCTGCATGCTGCATTACCATAAGTCGTTTGTCCTTCGTTAATGAATAATGATAATTTATGAAGCTTTACGAAAAGTGAATTCTCAAGTGAGGATGATAATTGCATTTGTAATTTTACGATAGTATTATAATAAACGCTTGCATGTTCGTTCTTACGTTCAGCATGTCGATAGAATCTTTATACGTTCTTCATTGTATTGTGTATCATTAAATTTCATGTGGTTCGATTGATAATACGAGTCATACTTTTGTGAATTAATATCAGTAAATTAATATCATTTTGTAGATGTTAAAAACAGTTGTTTTCTAGAGTCGATGATTAATAGAATTATAGTGTTGATTATAGTTACGATCTAGATATATTCGTCCTATATCGTTTTATGTGACAATTGTTTGTCAAATTACGTTTGGAATATATGAAGTACATACAAATATTAATGAGGTACGTAATACAGCAAGTAGAAAATTAAGAGCATGTGAAGATTGCGTTTGCACGAACTCTGTTAGCGCGTTGATATGACGTAAGAATATTTTAGCAGTATAAATATTTATCGATCTTTCGTTGTATTTCTAATGCCGCGTCGCTTTTGAGTATGATTTTTAACACGCATAAGTTATGTGATATCGACGGACAACTTTTGAACACGGGAAGCCAAATACAAAACATAAACGGGTTCGGCAATTGTATTATTTGTTCGCTAGAGAGACGATTAAAAGCCTGTCGATTGCCGAATCTTGACTAATGTAAATTATTAATCCAATACATGGTCTGTTATAAAACCTAACATAGTTTACCTAATGTTAGGTAGTGTTATTACGTATAACTATTTAGCGTAACACTTTACGTATGTGCGAATAACATTTACAGCTTATTAAGATATAACGAAGGAAAGATTAGGATGAGTTTAAAGAACATTCTGTAATCGGTTTTATCTAATTGGACTCGGATTATTAATAAAACCGACGATATTCGCACATGCCTAATCGTCAATGTTATTATTCGTTGGTATGCATGAATAGTTCTTGTTCGCAGTTCGCATGATGGTGGAACGAGAGCCTCTGTTAGACGAGGATTATCATCACGGATCTGATACCACCCTCGACCTATGACGGTTGAAAAATTATTCGTCAACGTGATAGCTTCTCAGGAAATGCGCTGGGCTCCGTTCCTCGAACTCAAGACCCTTCGCACTCGGCAGATACTTCGATGTTTCCATTTACTGGTTCGATTTTACGAAAAGTGATATTACGAGTGCGAAGGGTTAAAGTCAGGAGAGGAGATCATTTTTATCGTGAGAGACTGGTCGATTCAGTGGGTCTTCGGGACTGTATGATACCGGTATCTCCTGTGAGATTCACAAACGAGATACCTAAGTGCAATTTCGTTACCGGAAGACTATAGCTAGTGACACTGCTGTAATATAAGACTTATGTTACTGGTGAAGCCTACGTAATTTTACGGACACGAGAAGATAATTTTTTAGAGACGAATCTTTCGACTTAACGTTAGACAGTGGATACGAATATTTTTTTTACCGTAGTCGAAAACGTATAGCGGCGTAGCATAATAAGGAAACAGGAATTGTTGCTAACTTTTCATTTCATACGAGGATTGTCTATTTTTATCAGAATTTTTATAATCCATCGACATGGATAACAGCTGTATTATCGGAACATTACTTAGTCATCGAGTCACAAATCGTAGGAAGTTAGAAATAATTTTTTATCAGACGTTTATTGCAACACTCGACGTAGTACGCTTAGGAAAGAAGAGAATGCATTTCATTTTCAGTTATCAATCATAAAGAGAAGTTTTATGTTTATAAGGATTCTATATGTTGTAACCACGACCAATGTAATTTATGCGAATGAATAAAGTCTTGATTGACGTTTCATTAGATCCTCTTTCTTATCGACATGCAACGATCAAACGAATTCTGCTTCGTGGTAGAAAGTGGAACGAATTCAAATAACGATTAAAAACTGGCTCGACCCTTGCGGCGGAACTGGGTCAGGAGTAACCACTGTTTCCCGGGAATTCAGTCATCTCTGCAATATTTCTTTTACGAGGAAGAAGACTTTCAAATAAAAATTCCCGAGAAACTGTGAAATGAAAACCATACAAGATTGTAACAAGTAATTCATTCATCATGTACAAAAAGATAATATTATGATTATAAGCGTGAGCTCTTTAGAATAAATAATAGAAGGACGAGAGAATACAAGAATGAAGTGTGTATCAATGAAAGAGCTGCCCCTGACTCTGTTGCCTCATTTTCCCCTTTTTTGCGACGAGTCCGAGAACCCCGAATGCGTTTCGTGACCGAGCTACGTTTCACCTCCTACCCTCGTTCGACCGGGACCACCCTTTTAAAATACTTGGCTGTCCTCGATATCACACCCCCAGGAATGTATTCGCGGTCCAAGGTTCTGAGACGCCCTTCTCCAAAATTAAATTTCATCACAGCCAAGTTCCCAATTCAATTATACATTCCGTCAGCATTATTAGACGTTAGAATCAATTTTTAGACTTAGGCACTATTAATAATTAAACAGAACTATTGCGTATTTTTGTAAAGCTAAGTGTTGTAATTATAGTAACGCATAGATTGCGGATTTTTATATAAAGTTTCCTGAGGTCAGTTTAAAAAATGTGTTTCAGATGAACATTTCTTTTATCATTTAAATATTGAAGTGCAGATTCAGGTATCGGTATTCTGACATTACAACATTTACAATGCCTGCAGATTCAATTTTCTTAGCAACGTATCAAATCCGCAGTCTAATTAACGTAAAGTATGCTAATGCGAACGCGCACGCATGCGTTTCAGATCAAGGGTAGAATAGTCATGATTATATCAGTCTGCGCTCGAAAGCGCTAGCGTGATGATTGATGAATGGATTAACATTTGAATTAATTGCAAATAAAAACTATTTCTCCTGCTACCGTGGAATCATTAATCCTACCCTTTCTAACTCTCATTAACGATCATAGCATGTTCTTATCATTGTTATATTATAATTGTAATTAGGTTTCCAATTTCAGCAAACTTTAATAACAGAGTTCACATATTCCATGACCCGAACTCTATCGAAGTCCCTTCATGGTCGAGCGCGTCAAACTGAAAACTGAACCGGGCAATTATTCCCCGTAATTGACCACTGAATGGCTTCGAGCTTATATGTTTTGAAACATGATCGAACATCGCTTAGCGAAACCGGAAGGGCTCGAGGAACCTTTCAGATCCGGCACCCACACGTCCCTGCTTCCTCTTCCACCACCACGGTTCGGGACATCCAGCTCTAAGCCTGACAGCGGCGTTATTGATCCAGCTGGTATAGCGTCTCTATGCAATGAGGCCATCCATTCCCGAGGATGATGCGTACGAGCCTCCCTGGACTAAGCCATTCGGGCTCTTCTCTTTCACGAGCTGCTAACGTAGTATTACGTAGGAGAATGTCATTTCTTACGGAGGTCTTTAATCGTGTTACCATTGCCCACGCTTCGCTGGCCAGTTTTACGCAACCCCCACAGTCATTTCTCTCAACGTCTATTCCATTCACGACTTCAATTCACTATTCACCGAACTTAAGAATTATAAAATTCAATGTACAGTTGCTTTCCAGAGAATAAACTGACTATTTTATTACACAGAATATTGTGTAGTTATGTTATTTATTTATTTTCCCTCCCTAACGTAAGGTTTCGTCAAATCATCATTTCGATTTCTAAGTAAAGAAAGCCTTAACGCAATTTTTCTATTACGTTCTATTAGATTAAATTAAAGTACCAAGTTTCAGTATTGGTTTGTTGTTTGAATTTTCTAATTAAGAATGTATTGGCTATACAGTCAATCCTAAAAGTTTATGCACTTTAGAAACGCACTTTTTAAAAAGAAATCAGACGTCGGAAGAACATTGCTAATAATAAACAA